TCTGAACTCAGAGAGCACCTACTATGTGCCTGACCTCTGTGCCAAATTCTCTGATCTTCACAACAGTCTACCAGGAAGACATCATTATGCCCGTTGTCTCTCAAGAGGCGAATGAACAAAGCTCGCTCAGCTAGCTGCAAGAGCTGAGCTGGGATTCAAAGCTGGGTCTGCCTCTTTCCAAAGTCCAAACTCTTTCCCCTAAAACTCCCTCTTTCAGGAGGTGGGTGCTGCTGCCTCTGTCTGCTCCTCTGCCTGCTGGAGACCACCAGCCCTTGGGGACAGTAGCCCTGTCTTGTCCAGCCTCCCCCCTGCGTGGCAGTTTGCAAGGCCAGGCAAGGTGATTTGGGCTTTGCAGGCTTGCTCCGTGTCACCAAAGCCAACTCGATGCAATGAGGACACGTGGTTTTAGTATTTTAGTGCAATAGAAGCGCACTCGGTATTTGGGGCGAGTCAGTTCTGTGTCGGGCCGCTCTATCCGGTGCCTAGAAAGGCGTACAGTGTTCCTGGGCCCAAAGTGCCAGGAGTTCCCCAGTGACTGAGAAAACACCAACCACGGCCAGCACCTCTGGGGAAGAGACCGGGGAGGGGTCACTGCGTCCAGGCAAGGCCAGTCTGCTACTCCAACAGTCACAGGAGAGGAAAGCCTGGACTCGGCCTTGGACTTGGATGAAATGATCCCAGCTGCACTGTGAAGGAGCCGTAGGACCTTAACTACAGTAACTATTGGACCTCGGCGCAGCTTCCTCATTCGTCCAGAGGGGACGACGACAAGGCAATCACCCACAGAAAGCATTGAGCATAGGTCCTGGCCCACAGTGACCTGTAGTAGCAATACCCTGGGCAGAGTTAAACCTGTAAGGTTTTCCGTAAAAATCAGTACACCAAGCAGGACAACAAAATCTCTTGTCAGATCATGAATCCTGGTTTATTTTTTTGGGGGGGGCGGGGGGAGTGCAGAGGGGAGGGTCTAAACACAGAGTCCCCATAAGACATGTGCTTGGGGAAAACTTGTCAACAGTTCTGTCCCGAGGGAGGCGGCAGCCTGCTGAGTACAAGCGTGCTGATTTACACTCGGGTCTCCTGGGGTTTGGGACTGGCAGAAGGGAAGTGGCTTCTGGAGCCCGGACTGCAGGTTCCCAGGCTTGTGCCAGGCGGAGGGGTCGGTGGGTGGGGCCTCCGAGTGACACACACAGGAAGCACCCCACTCCTCGTTGCTCCCGGCACAGGACCCAGATCCAGAACGGAAACCTCCCTCTTTGGGGCAGCTCTCCACATAAGGGACAACATGTGTGTATATCCATGTAGCGCCTGGCACCCTAGAGAGAGTCACCCCCACTTTCCAGATGGAGAAACGCAGGCCCAAAGCAGAGAGACGACTTTTGCAAAGTCAGAGTCCTAGAATAGCACCAGGCGGGCTCTGCTGGTGACTGCAACGCTTGAACCGCTGTCCCAGGAGGAGGAAGTGGGACAGCTGTTTGGGAGATTTCCCAGGGAGCTGGCAGTGAGTGCCCCACATCTTGTTATGGCACCGGCGCCCCTCCCATCCAAGTACTAACCGGGCCCGACCCTGCTTGGTTTCCCAGACCAGACGAGATCAGGCGTGTTCAGGGCGGTATGGCTGTAAACTCAGCGACCCCTGTCCCACCACGGCTGGCGGGACTCCGGCCCACCGGCCGCAGAAGAGAGGAGCCACACCCAGTCGAATGTCCAAGTGCACGGGCAACCTAGGCACCCAGGTGAGGACAGACAGCCGGTGGCCTCCGTGTGGACACCTCCATTCCCGTGGGCAGAGTGTCAGCAACTTGACTGCTGTTCCGGGGCCCGAATGCCTGCGGGCAGGGACCAGTGTGAAGGATTTCCTCACGGCTCTCAGCTTTCCCGTGTTTCTTTGTCAGCCCCACCCGGACTGTAAAATCAGGCCATCCGACTCCTCGGGACACGGAAGGTTGGGAAACCACAGATGTTGCCTCTCGAAGGAACTCTTCGGGAGGAGAGAGCAACGCACACAGAAGCGGACTGAATGTCTCCGCCCCGCACGGTCTCCTCTTGGGCCACCACTTTCCCTGCGGGTACGAGCGAGTCTCGGCTTGAGCCTCTAGCCTGGTGGTTTTCAACCTTTTCCAGCTCATGGCACAAATAAACTAATTACTAAAATTCTGCAGCACACAGAAAAAAAAAAAATATTTTTGCTGATTTGACAAAAATAGGTATAGTTTCATTTATTTACAACAAATGGCTATTGTGTTGGCTCGTTTTTTTGTGTGTTTTTTTTAAGATTTTATTTATTTTTAGAGAGATGGGGAAGGGAGGGAGAAAGAGAGGGAGTGAAACATCAATGTGTGGTTGCCTCTAGCACACTCCATATTGGAGATATGGCCTGCAACCCAGGCATGTATCCTGGCTGGGAATCAAACTGGCGATGCTTTGGCTCGCGGGCCTGCGCTCAATCCACTGAGCTACACCAGCCAGGGCTGTTTTTTAAATGTGACAATCTAAGGGAAAAGAGCTCAGTGCCCTTGAGTAAATAGTCAGTGTTTTACAAATTCCTGTTGCACCACCCCGCACCTCTTGCAAAATGCCAGTTGAAATGCCTGCTCTGGCCTCTTCACTTCTCCTTCCAGACATCTGTGCGTCTTTCAGTCACAGGTTAAAAGTGACCTCCTCTGAGCAGCCCTCTGCGACTGCACCCAGGGTTGAGCCAGGTGCTCCCGAGGCCTGACCCGCTGCCACACTTGTCACAGATGCTAACTGCTGGGTTTCTGTCGCCCTCACTACACCAAGTAGACCTCGTGGCGACCCTTGGGAGGCAACTTTCTTACCTTCTCTGTGCTTTCCTTACTGATCTGTAAAATGGGGCCAATCTGTGTGCCAAACATGAGGCAGGGCAGGTGGGAGCACTCCGTGTCAGCTGCGATGGTCGCGGTTGTCATCTTTCTAGGTCGGGGCATGGAGGCTCAGGACGGGACCGGCCGGGTCCACAGTGTCCAGGCTAGAAAGGGGCAAGCCTTGGACTCTGGTTCGGAACCTGACCTCCAGTGTTTGCAACCCATCCTGTTTGTCCCACTTGTTCCGTGGGTAAGCAGCCAGTAGTTGCTGGACACCTGCTGTGTGCCAGGCCCCATGCTGGCTATCATGTGATTAATCATGAACAAAGCTTGAGGTGGGGGTGGATAAGCCAGAGCTGGGGGCATTAGCGTTAAATCCTCCAGGGTTCAAATTTCAGCCTTTCGGGCCTGCTTCCTCCCCTAATAGGGAAAAAAAGTGAGACCTCCCAGCAGGAAAGCTGAAACCAAGCCCTGACTCAGCATCTGATCCATGAGGGCTGTTATTACCTCCACTATCCTATTTTTATTCATTTACTTATTTTTTTTTGTATTTTAAGGCCTTTATTTTTTAAGTTTATATTGGATTTACTGGGGCGACTTGTGTTGATACAATTACGTAGGTGTCAGGTGTACGAATCTAGAACACATCACCTGTCCATTTTACTGTGTGTTCGCCACCCCGGGTCAAGTCTCCTTCCGTCACCACTCACCCTTCCAGTACTGTCTTTGGTCTCTCCCCAACCCCCTTTCCCTCAGGTAATCACCATACTGTTGTGTCCGAGTTTTCTTTCTTTTTCTTAATCCCTTCACCTTTTTCACCCAGCTCCCCAACCCCCACCTCCCCTCTGACAGCTTCAGTCTGTTCTCTGTATTTTTCTGCCTGTTTTTATTTTGTGTGTTAGTTAATTTTGTTCAATACATACAAGCCCTGGCCAGGCAGCTCAGGTGGTCAGAGCGTCCTCTGGATATGCCAAGGTTTCCAGTTCAACCCGCGGTCAGGGTGCATACAACCCTCAACCAATGAACGCATAAATGAGTGGAACAACAAATCAATGTTTCTCTCTCTCTCTCCCTCTTTCTCTCCAAATCAATAAATTAAAAAAAATCCACATATAAGTGAAATCATATGGTACTTGTCTTTCTCTGACTGGCTTATTTCACTTAGCATAATACTCTTCAGGTCCATCCATTCTGTTACAGGTAAGATTTCCTTCTTTCTTTCTTTCTTTTTTTTTCTTTTTTTTACCACCGAGCAGTATTCCATTGTGTAAATATACCAGAACCTTTTTATTCACACATCTACTAATGGGCACTTGGGCTGCATTTTAACCCTGGCAATTGTAAATAACACCGCAATGAACATAAGGATGCATATATTCATTGTAATTAGTGTTTCCAGTTCCTTCGGATATATTCCCAGAAGTGGAATTCCTGGGTCTTCACAATTTATTTTTAAAATAACCAACCGGTGCACATGGTAGTAAATCCTTCCCCCTTGTTCAGGTACCCAGGGCCCCAGTTCTTCTGTCAGAGGCCACCACAGTTACCACCTTCTTGTGCATCTTACCCGACGACTGGGGCACGCATCCGCAAACAGCCCCCCACACTCTCTTCCAACACAAACTGTGCGCAGATCAACGCTGTTCTCTTTGCCCCTCCAGCTTTTCATTTAAGGTATCTCACACGTCGCTCCGCATTAGTGCAAAAGGAACATGTTTCATTTGAGTGGCTGCACTTTATGCCACTGTACGGATTAGTGTTTAGCGTGGCTGTCGTTACCATGATCAATATGGTAACTGAAAGGACTCGAGATCCACACAGCTGCGGAGATGGAATCGGGGGATCCGGTTCCAACTCCGGCTCTGCCCAAAATATACCGAATTACCTTGGACTCCATCTTCCCTAAGGGTACTACAGCGGGATTCGGGGGGATAGGGGGAAATGTAAGTGCAGACAGGGCCAGCCAGGAGGGACCGAGTGTCAGAGTGCGGATCATCGAAAAACGCGCGCAATTTATTTCCGCGGGTTGGGGGAACCTTTCTGGCAGCCCCTCTGCTATCACAGCAGCACCAAATGATGCTAGTACTTTGGCACAATCCAGCTCGGAACCGGTTACCAGACCGTTCTTGGCACTTAACCTCGGGGCAGCAAAGCTCAGCAACACCAGCTACTCACCTCCGTCTAGACGCTTCACCCTGTCACCAAGGACTCCTGGAAGGTTAAGAACCGGTTCTGTCCCTTTAAAAGGGCTAAGCCCCGGCTCCGCTACTTCCGCCCAAAAACAACATGGCGTCGGCAGGGAGAGGAGGGGTTGAGGGCGGCGAGACAGCTCCCCTCAAAAAGATGGCGACGCCCAGGCCACCGCCTTCGCGCCTTGGGTGACGTCACTTCCGGGGCGGAGAAGGCTGAGTGGTGCAGTGAGGGACAAACAAAAGGAGGCGCCGGAGGGGCGCCGCGGCCGGTGGCGGGACTGTGCGGCAGGGGCCCCGGGGCTGCCTGCTGGGCGGCCGGACGCGGCGGGCCCAGGTGAGTGGGTGGGGTGGGGAAAGGGGCGTGAGCTGTCACCTCTCAAAACCCACTCCTGCACGCCCCGGGCCAGCTGTCCGGCTCCGCGCGCCCCGCCAGCTCTGGCCCTGCCCGCTAGGGCCGGCTCCCTGGGGCCTCCCGCGGCAATTCGGTTCTGCCTGTGTCGGGTGTCCCCCTTTCCTCGGGTCTGTGGGACCGCACCCTCTCCCCGGCGCCGCGGCGCGCGAGCCCCCTCCCTGGCACCCCGTGCCTCCCTGCGCTCTACTACTGGGAGTTTCCGCCTCGGCTCCCCCAGGTCCCCTTGTCATCCCCTGGGTTCCCCCAGATCCTCACTTCTGCACACACTTCCCCGTTCGTAGAGTTCGCACCTCTGGGCTCTCTCCTTACCAGCTCTTTTTCATCTTCAAGGGTTCCCCCTGCTCCCTTCTTCCTGGCTCCTGACCCTTCCTTTCCCCTTGGGCCCCTCCCTCCCCTTGATCTGGCGGGAGAAGTGCCCTGACTTGGGGGCAGGGTCCCTGGCTAGGTGCTTCCGGCTTGTCAGGGCTGGGGTCCCCGGGAAGACTGGTGCTGGGTCCGGGGCCTCGGGCCAGGTCTGATTAGGTCCGGGCTGGTGCCGCTGTGGGTGAGCTGGAGCTCCAGCAGAGTTGGCTCTCAGGCTGAAGGAACAGAGCCCCGGACCCTTGTGGTTCATGATGATGATTCTGCTCCTTCAGTTGACTCCTTCCCCTTGATCTGGAGGGGAGTGAACCAAGATCCCGCTGGTTCTCAGCTGATGCAACTGCTGCCTTTTTTGGAAAGGAGGAGAGATGGTTGGGGGGTGTCCACAGCCTCCTCCTGGTGGGGACTTGGCCGAAAGGGTGGGGCTTCCCTTGGTGACCACATTCTCCTGACCTTCCTCTTCCCTGCCTCACCCCAGGAGGCCTGTGGAGGATGAGGAGGGAGAGAGAGCTTGGGGAGGGAAAGGGGATCTGGGCCTAAATTGTGGAAGAAGGATTTGGAGACGCCACAAGCCCCCCAAGGGCCTCTCCCGCCTTTTCCACTAGGAACCCATAGAACCCCTGCCCAACCATGTCCTGCTCTCTGGAGCAGACAAGCTGGAGGCGGAGAGGGGAGGTCTGCTGTTGGTGACCCTTCCTGTGAAGAGGATGGAGGAGTGGGAGTTTGTTCAGAGGGACTGGGCAGTGCCCGTGGCTCGTTCACATTGGCATTGCCTTCGTGAAGGTCAAGTCTTCCTCTGGCTCACCAGGGAGGGGCAAGGGCAGATGTCTTGCACTGGAGGACTGGCTTTTGGAGAAACGCTAGGGCATGGATTACGTGGCCTCTGCCTCCCTGTCTTCCCAGGCGTGGAGACTCTGGGTTTGGGTCCAGTGCCCCTCTGCCTTCCGGGGGCCGTGGGACATATGGCAGGGGCTCAAGAATGTCTGTGACTCCCCTGCCAGAACTCAGGCAGATGCTTTGTGTGCTCCCTCCCTCGGGCACGCCCAGGAGGAAACGGCTTCCTTTGCAGACTTGGAGTGGCCCTGCTGCACGGAGGGGCTCGCGAGGACTCCCCCAGTAGGTCAGGACTCAGGGATGTGGCTGGGCATCGGCTGCCCCTGGCCTGGCCTGGCCTGGCCCGTGCCAGTAGGAGGGAAGGGATCAGCCTGATTCCTGACTCTTGAGAGTGGAGATGATTCTGGGTGTTTACGTGGGGACCCTGAGGCACAGGCAAGTAGTCTAAGACCTCACGAGGAGTCAGGTGGGATGGGTGTGGAACCCTAGAGCCCAGCACACTCTGTCCATCCCCGACTCACTCATTTGTTCACTCGGGCTCTTTGAGTAAGTGCCTGGCCCGGTTCAGGGATGGTGCCAGCAGAACACAGCTCCCGGCCTCCTGAGCTGCAGTCTGGGAGGAGAGGCAGAGAGGAAGACACTGATACAGCTTAATGATAGAAATATTCTAGAGGCGGCCCCGAGAAAAGAGGCATCAGCTCTGGGTGAATATGTAGGGGTTGGTCACTGTGTGTTTCCCAGAAGAGGAAGGAGTAGAAAGAGAATCACTTACCAGGAGTCCAGAGGCCAGAGTTCTGGTCCCGGATCTGCCACAGGCAAGTGACCGGACTGACTAGTGGGTGTCCCCATCCTCGCAGAGGAGGGCAGGGTCGGGGGAGAGGCCGGCCTAGGTGGCCCCTGTGGCTTCACAGCTCCAGGTGCTTTTCTGCCTAGTTGCCATCACTCCCTGTGGGATTCCTGGGTCGCCGTCTCCCCGTGAGGCTGGGGACCATCTCCTGCTTCCTTCCTTCCAAGACAGTGCCTGGCACTGAGTAGGTGCGATAATGCTTGTGGCATAAATGGTTGAAAGACTCCGTGAGCCCCCCTAGAGTCTTTCAAGTTCTGTTGTCTGCCTCTGCCCGCACTCCTCACCTCCTCTCCTGCCCCTCCTTCCTGCCAACAACTCCTCATCCTCTGACCTTCCCTGATGGCTGGGCCACGCCCCCAGCTCCTGGCTGATTTAGATGCTCCCCGTACCCCCGTTGCAGTCTGAGCACGCTTCTGTCCCCACCCGGCTAACCTGTCTTGCTCACTCGTGCGGATGTTTCTGGTCAGAGTGCTGGCAGGTAGTAGATGCTCACCAAATGCCTCTTGACTAACAGATGATGGTTGGGGTTTGCGTTTGAGTCAAAGTTACGTGTCTGGGCTGAGGATTTGTCTCTGCCTGAGTCTGGCTCACCCCACAATAGCTCATCCCTCTCCACGGCCCACCTCCAGCCCTGGATCTAGCCAGGTTGAATCATGCAGCATTCTCTAGATGCCCTGTTCTTTCCCGTCCACGCAAACATGTGTCCCCCCCCCCCCCCCCCGCCTGGAATGCTCTCTCTGCAACTCCTACTCTTCCTCAGCAGTCGACTCAGGTAACACCTTTTGCAGGGGGCCCTCCCCGACCCCAGCCAGCAGTGCGGGTCTGGTGTTTCTTCCGTGGTCCCGTAGCTTCTGGGTTCCCCGCAGCGGAGCCCTGGGCCCTCAAGAGCCGGCTGTCACTGTTGACTTGGCCTCTCCCCAGTAGACTGCCTGACTCTCTGTTGTCGCCCCGGAACCCAGCTGAGGGCCTGGCACCAGGCAGGCACTCGGAAAATGTTGGCAGCACAGCAGGTAACTCTGATGGTCATGCACATCCCCGCTGACAGCAGCTCTTGCTTCCTCGTAGGGAGGCAGCTCCATGGAACGAAAGAGATGCCAGGACCCTGCCCGGACAGAAGGGGGCCAGCCTCAGCACCGGCAGCCAGCACGCAGATAGCAGAGCCGTCCCCGGGGTAAGGACTGGGTCCCTCTCCCCCCGAGCCAGCCCCGGCCTCTGCCCAGGCGCCTTCCCTGGCCCGGGGAGCAGAGGGCAGGACCTCCGCCGTCTCTGCAGCCCTTGCTCTTCTGCCCGTAGGCCCCGGGCGTCTCGGGCAGAGGTGGCAGGAGACTGAACTCTTCCCGCTCCTCCCGACTCGGGGGCCAGCTGAGCAGCATCCGGTTGCTGTCCTCTCCGAATGCCAGGGTTACGTCCATTGCCGCCCCCGCCCTTCCTGCTTCAGCCCCGCTCTGCCGGGCTGGGTTGTGGCGGGTGCTGTCTCGTGGCCACACTTCCCAGGCGTGTGTCCCCTGGAGCACGCGTGTCCCCAGCGGGGAACGGCAGCTCCTCGTCCTTGCCGCACGAGCCTCCGGTGCGTCGCGGTGAGCCCCACGAGCCTCTGAGAGGGACCAGCGGGCCGAGTTTCCCACACTCCCTGGCCCGTGCGGGTGGACCTCGGTGGGGACGGGGTTTCTCAGCCTGCACTCTGGAAAACGGTCCCCGAAGGCGGGAGGTGCACTGGTGGGGACCGGCAGCTGGTCCTCTCGTGCCCGTGAGTGACTGTGGACCGGCCGCCACGCCGCTGTGCGCCTCGGTCTCCTCATCGCCAGACGGGGACCACACCGGCACCTCATCCCCCGAGTCAACAGTGGGGAGAGGCACTGGGCTGGGTGCGCGTCCCAGGACGCGGCCCCGAGTCATAGCAGCTCCGTGGTTTGGGGAACACACCCTGCTCCGTGATCCCGTCCGGTCGTTCGAGGAAGCTCAGGCCGTGGCCTTCCTCCCGTGTACAGATGCGTGTACAGATGCGTGTACAGATGTGGAGACGGAGGCTGAGGGGAGGGAGCAACGTACCCAAACTCGGAAGGGAGGAAGGAAGGCAGGGCCATGGGACCGGAACCTGAGCCGGGGGTTCTGGGCCCGGGTCCTTTGCTGGGTGCCACCCCAAGGCCTCCCTGCCTTCACTGCCTACCTCAGCTTTTTGCTAAGGAAGGCCTGGCCCCCCCTAGCCTGGGCCTTAAAAGAAATAGTAATCTTACTATTTTTTTTTGTAATTACCAACATACTTGCATGCTCATTACGTTTGTATAATGTTTTGGTTTTAACGCCATGTAGAAAGCGGAAGTCCCCCGTGACCCCCCTCCAGCGACGTGAGTGGGGTGGGGTGCATCCTCCCACGCGTATCACTGCTGTTTGCTCCTTCGTCCAAAAGCAAGCCCGGTACAGCTGCTGGCCCCAGCCCGCTCTCGCTTCCTTGGTGGTCGGTGGTCGCTCCTGGACCCCTCTCCCAGGCCAGGGGAGGTCTGAGCGTGCGTTCCCGTCGGCATGTCCGCACTCTGGTTCTCCCCCCTTAGTGCTCCTTCCCTCCCCGTGGGGCTTTTGCAGCAGCAGAGGGGGGTGGAAATGCCTGGTGTGTGGTTTCGCTGCCTCTCCTGTTTATTGGGACAAGGGCAGCGACTCTGGGCGCTGCCCTGCAGGAGTTTCCTGTCGGCTCGGAGGAACTCTGTCCTACCGGGAGAGGCGAGGCGAGGCCTCGGCTGCAGTCTCCGGCCGCCTGCGACGGGCAGGAAGCGGCAGGCCCTGCTTATCTGGGATCAGAATTCCTCCTCCTCCGTGCCAGGGACAGCGTGGAGGGAACGGCGCGGGCCACACACACGAGTTGGAGTTGTTACGTGTGCCCGAGTCTGGCCCTGACTCTGTTTACCCTGGTGGTTTCTGGCAGAAGCCTCGGTCCTCGTTCCCCTGCAATGCTTCCTTTGGGTCTTAGTCTTGAGGGTGGGCAGGCAGGCGAGAAGGTGGGGGGCCGCCCTGAGGCCTGGGGTCCAAAGATGCTCTGTTGGTACCCAAACGACCTCAGGGTGGGTTTCAGCAGGAGGGGCTCCTGTCGGGCAGCCTGGTTTTGTGGGAACGGGGTGGGGGGTGGTTGGCAGGATTGAGCTGGGGGTGAGGTCTGTGCCCGAGAAGTCTCCCTCGCCTGCTGGGGCTCTCGGGCTCCCTGGCCTGACCCTCTCCCTCTCCCCCGGTTCTCCCTCTCCTTCTTTCCCTGGGGTCTCCTTCCTTCTGGAGACGCTTTCCGGCAGAGAGCCCCAGGAGCGGGCCCCTGTCCCCTCCCCCCTTCCAGCAGCAGGGCCTTCGGGTCCAGTGGCCGTCCTCAGGGGCCGCGGGCTGAGTGCTCGGCGCGGTGCCGGGTCATTACACACGTCTGCTACCTCGCCTGCCACGGCCACCCGTGCGAGGTGGTGTCACCGTTTCACGGGCCAGCAGGCCAAGACTTGGAGGGACCAGGGCTCCTGCCCCAGGTTGTCTTAGTGGCAAAGTCAGGATTCAGACCCGGTTCTCTCCGCCTTGGCCGCCTGTGCTTTCTCCCCACCTTCTACTTTTCTTCTTCTCTGGGTGCTGGGGCTTGGGGGTGCTTCAGAGTCACCTGGGGGCCTGTCGGAAGTGCCGTTTTCCCCGGAGCCCACCACACGGGTGCGCAGGGAGAGTCGGGGGGCCGGGCCCAGGAGCCGGCACTCTGAAGAAGCCCCCCAGGCCACCGTGAGCTGGCGGTCTGCAGGCCACGCCAGGACACACTGACCGGGGTGACTCTTTCCGCTCTGGTCCCCACCTCTGGTGACCGAGTCTCTCTGCCACCAGGACTGACACCCCTGGTGTAGAAGCCAGCTGAGTTCCCCTCAGTACCGGGGGTCTTAGTGACCTCCCAGCAGTTGGGGATGAGGGTGGAGGGGGGGGCATCCGACCTTCTTTCGCCCAGGATGCCTGGGGCTGAGGTTTCTAGAGCAGCTTTCACTCCCGGCCACGACGCCCCTTGCTGCCTCCCCTGGTGTGTCTCGGCTGCATCTGTGACGAGCTCTACACTAAGCATCTCTCGAGGGCTTAAAACCTTAAAACCCAGCAGGCGCCCGCGGTGCCTCGGGCCCGGAGTAACATTGCACCGGAGCGAAAGCGGCTGTAAAATTCCACGGCTCTCGCGTGCCACCTGGACACCCGCAGAGGCACGGCTGCCAAACCCTGGCCCTCCCACAGACGGAGTCGGGGGCGACCAGGGGCGGGGCCTCGTGGGGATCCTGCCCTTCCCGTCTCCCGGCCGCGCCCTGGGTCAGCACCCCGGGGGCAGCCCCTCTGGCCCGGTGAGCGGGCCGCTGGCGTCTCACCTGTGGCCGCGCCCCTGCAGTCCCAGTCCCCGGGGATCCCCGCCACCCTTGGCTGTTCCTGCCCACATTTTATAACCCGTCTGGAAGGCAGCGCTGGCCTTTATAGCGGCTCGGAACCTGTGTCTCAGGCCTCTCCTCCCCCCAGGCCCAGGCCCAGGCCCAGCACCTGGCTTCCTCCTAAGGTTTCCGTAGAGCTGTACCTGCGAGACCCAGCAGCGTCTGCCTGTGGCCTGCTGGGGTCCCCCGCAGAGCCGTCTGGGTGGCCCTCGGGAGAAGGGGCTCTTGTCCCAGGGAGCACCTCCAGGGGCCTGGGAGCCGGGCTGGGCCCAGGAGACCAACTTGCCTTTGCGGCAGATGGGCACAATGCAAAGTCGGACCTGGGGTGGTCTTTCCCCCCATCTCGCTCTGTGGCCCTGGGCAGGTCGCTTGACCTCTCTGGGCCTCAGACTTCGGACCCTTAAAGGGACCGATACACCTTACCACGATAATAACAGGGGCTGACGTTACTGAGTCGTACTGTGTAGTGGGCACTGGGCCGAGGGTTTCTGTGGCCTGCCTCCTGCAGTCCTCCTCACCACCCCGAGAGGAGTGGGCTCATCACCCCATTGCACGGATGAGGAAACCAGAGCGAGCCCTGGGAGGCGAAGTGGTTTTCCTGAGGCCACGCACCGGCGCCATCTCCGTGGTCTGCTTGAAGGTCCGGGACTGAGGCACAGGGAGTGCTGGGCGCGGTGATGGCAACCGGCCGCTCCAAGGCCCGCCTGGAGGGTGAGGGGAAGTCCTCGCTTCCGGCCCGGCCTCCCGGCTCTGTGTGCGGGGCCACGGCGGCGGGGCAAGTCCAAGGTGGGTGCCCCTTACCTGTCACCCTTCACCTCGAAGGCAGGCCCCGCCCTAACAAGTCTGCAGGAAGGCGAGCCTGTTTGGGAGGCCCCGCCCAAGTGTGACAGCATTTTGGAACTGAAACCCGTTCCCCTCCCCACCCTGGCCCAGACTGTCTCCCCTTTTCCTTTCCCTGGGACCAGAGGGTGTGCCCTCCCCCGCAGGAAGAGGGCCACGCCAGGCAGCGCCCCCAGCCGCTGACTCATCCCAGCGGGGTGTGGGGGCCCAGAGGGCAGTGCCCTGCACTGGGGCGGGGGCTGCCTGCGCCCTGGGACGGATCACACCCTCTCCCTCCCGCCTCTGGGACCAAAGGAAGCCGGGGGTGCTGGCCGGGGAGCAGATTCACAGGCTCAGAGCCTCCTGGGACAAGGCCAGCGAGCGACCCAGTGTCTCCCTGGGGCCCCCTCGCAGGAACGGCCCTGCCCCCTTCCCTGGGAGAGTGCCGGAGGGACGGCCGGTCTAACCGTGGTACAGGAGGGACGCCAGCCAAGCCCCTTCCCTCCTGCCTGGGACGGTTTCCCAGCCTGTCTTTCGGGGCTTCAACAAAAGGCTCTCTGTGCCCTGTTTACCCACTGCCTCGCCTGCCACCGCAGCTCAGGTGTGGCAGCCAGATCTCTGCGGGCCGGGCCGCGGTGGGGCTGGAGCTCATCGGGTGGTCTTCCTCTGGGACGAGTGTCCTTTCTGTGTAAGAAGCTTCGGGAGGAAGTCAACGAGGGGGACGGTGTGCCAGCTCCCACCCCCATCCTTTCCAGGAGCCCCGGAGATAGATGCTGGGGGCCTCTGGGCGTCTGGGCTGGGCTGGGGGAGTTTGCGCTTCCGGCTCAGCCCTCACCTGGGCGCCTGCCCCTGAATTCTGGGAGGGTTCTGTGCCGTGGCAGCTGGGCTGTGACTGTAGCGCGCCTTCCTCTGTGCCAGACCGGGCTGACACCACGCGCGTCCCCTT